CAAAAAAAATGATTTTCAGGCCTCAAAAAATGTTTTACAATAAATGCAGCAGCAGATATTAAATGTGTTTTCCTGTCCTTCCTGGACCCAATGTCTCCCCTTCTGTTCCTCAGATATGACGTTGAGTAATGGCCAGAAAATTGTTTGTGCAGAACATTATGATGTCACAGTAAAGCCAACCTTTAACCTTTTGGATGTAAAATGTCATCATGATGTTTTGTCATAATTAGCACAAAAAAATGTTTTGTGAGGTCGCATTGACCTTGACATTTGACCTTTGACGTTTGACCTTCAACCTCCAAATTCTAACCAGTACATTCTTCAGTGCAGATGGAAATTTGTGTTGCATTTGAGGAAATTCCCTTGAGGTGTTCTTGAGATATCCTGTTCATGAGAGAAGGATACAAGGTCACAGTGACTTTGACCTTTTACTACCAAGTAGTAAAGAGTATCACACTTGATGTATCACATTCACAAGAATGAGATGGATGCAAGGTCACATTAATCTTGACCTTTGACCACCAAAATCTGATGTTTGTGCCAAATTTGAAGAAATTCCCCTATGGGGTATTTGAGACCTTCACAGCAATAGGATGGGCGGAGGGACAAGCTGAAAACAAATGCCTCTGGCCACAGCTATCACTGGTGCGGAGGCATAAAAACTAATGGTGTATTCAAGTGGTTTTTGTCAATTAAAGTAAAGAATAGTTGACATTCAGGGTGCCCTGGTGTAAAGTTACTTACCGTGATCCTACAAAACGGTTCAGAATGGATGAGTGGTGAATATTCCACCATTAAATGTTACATTTCTCTAATTCCCTGTTAACACATGTCTAAGCTGCAAAGTACATGCCTTGCTTCCATTATTCATTCTATCTGGTTTGAGTACTATATTTACTGATGAATGATGTACAGTAATACAAATTAGTGGAAAATGCAGCTCGGCCTTGTGATCTTCTCTGAACTCATGCATTGATGAGAATTCCCTGAATGCTCTATTCAGCACTGCTGACATCAACGGCATTCAGCGGGCAGGTTATAAGAATTGGACCTTGATCTAGTTTAAGTGTCAGGCTGCTTTCTAAAGTGCACGTCACAATGAAATAAAGACACACTGTAAAGGCTTTGCAGTTCTCTTTAGCATACTATCATCATTCAGGATCCATTTATCATCATGTCTAATCATATAATGTCTGCTTGTTAGCAGCCTGATTTTATGCCTATCACAGAGCTGAGTTCAGCCGGTGTCTACTGCAAGCACAGCCAAAACTGTTATCACTGACTACAGATTAGTTTGATCACTGTGCTATTAGAAGTGCACTCATTCCATAACTGATTTTCTGTGGTGGTGGTGGACTACATCAGACATATTTAACATGGTAATATTTCTGTCTTTACCACTGTACAGAACCACAGACTGACAATATCTTCACATAAAATATGAAGACTGGAATCTTCACCATAGATCATGAGACAAGTTAGCTTTGTGGTATTCCTGTCTTCAGTGCCTTTATCTACACAGCCAGATACAAGCTGCTGTATCAGGTTTAACACACTATTCCTGCTCTCACTCCTGTCACCTTGTAGCGACAAGCAGAGAAACCATGGTGAGACAGAGAAAGGGAACAGTTAACAGGTAAGGACAAGCACTACAAGCACATTTCTCAACTGGCAATCATCTACTGAAACTACAGCAAAAGGCTACACTTTACATCCACTAATAGGAGGTGGTTGTCTACAAAAGCTAGAAAAGGGAAAACACCATCATGGAAAACACCTATACTTTCCACATACAGTACTGTACTACTGTAATCAAAGAAGTAAACTACAAAACAACTCACAACATAACAAGACCATTACATAATACTACATACAGTACAGCTGTGGTCTGCAGAGCCTTTAAGGCACACTTCACTCCAAGATGAAAGTACATATTTTCATTTTTTTATTTGTACATATCTCTAACCTGTGGTGCTATTTATCGATCTTGATTGTGTTAGTGGGAGTTGCCAAGTGTTGGAGATATCAGCCATAGAGATTTCTCTTGAATATAATGAAAAAGGATGGCATTCGGCTTGTGGTGCTCAAAGTGCCAAATAAATACATTTAAAAAACTCAACATCAACGTCTCTTTCAAGAAATCATGACCCGGTTACTCAAGATAATCCACGAAACTTGTTGTGGGCAGGTTCATGTAGCAACTATTTTCTTTCTACCAAACTACACCTGCCAACTGTATGACTGTGCAAAAGGAAATGTGCGTCTACAGCTAGCTCACCTAGCACAACTGAGCTAGCTAATGCTACATTTCCAGCTGAGGAGGACGCCAATAATGTTTATATCTTGCACTACCACAAGAATGAGCTTCTCACAAATAAAATTTTGCAGCAGCAATACCACCGGAGATCATGGAGGCAGTGTAGTGTCATTCAAGCCAGATACGACCATAAGAGATGACGGAGAAATCTAAATAATAGCGTAACGGAACGGAATTGGTGATACAACAATGCCGCCAGTTTGAAGATACAATATTACGACCTCCTCCACTGTCACCTTGATTGCTGTTTGAAACTTGACTTTGCCTTCTGGTGCCATCTATTGACTGTATCTACGTCATCATAAAGGAAGTATGAGGACAGTGACGTCAGGTATTGACGTTTGGTCATGAACTTTCCATGTCGACATACAATGTGCAAAGTACCCTGGGTGCGTTCTGCTGTGCTAAGTTCTGTCTGCTACATGCATTGTCTGTTTAAAATACACTTCCCTTTGCCCAGGAAATGTACAGTTTGCATGCAGTCTCTTTCAAAATAAAAGCACTACGCCAGTACATGATTATGTTTAGTCAACACACACACGTGGTTAGGTTAAGGAAAAAATGGGAATTATTATTATCATTATAATTATGGGAAGCGAACACCGGCCTCCCAGGAGAAAGTTGATGGTTTTTGAACCCATCCATCCCTCCTGCCCGCCCAACTCGGACCTCAGCTGTCTGAACTGTCGTTGTTGTCCTGCCATGTTTCCCCCGGACGTCCCCGTGTACCGTAAAACAATTACTCTGACCAACTGTGGATCATGCCTGTGTTAAAGGACAGCTTTATTCGCCGGTGTCTGATGCCGAAAGTCACTGACCAAGTGCCGGCTTTCAATGACTTCAGAGTGGTTGGTATTTTTGTATGTAAAAGGAAAATAAATGAGCCTTAACTTCTGGTCCATTAGTAGATGCACGCTTCCTTCTGCGTGGGGATTTGGTCAGCTGGTGTAGTTCAGTAGAGAGAACATAGTTCCTACATGAAACTGCTCATTACACAGTCTGTGTATTATCTTGAGTGCAGGGGTCATGATTTCTGGAGAGAGACTTTGCTGTTGAGCTTTTTAAATGTCATTTTTTAGTGCTTTGAGCACCACAATCCGAATGCCATCTACTTCCATTATATTGGAGAGAAGGCAGACATGTCTACGGCCGACATCTTCAACCCTAGGCAATCCACTCCAAAACAATCTGTACTGATAAACAGCACTAAAGGTGAGAGGAAAAATATGTTTTGTTTTTTTTTTAATTTTGGGGTGAACTGTCCCTTTAAATCAGACATCCTGAAATCCAGGTTATGTTCCAAAAATGTGGCCCAATGTTGCAATGTGTCAAACACACTCATGTGATCAGATCATTGAAATAAACTTGACAAAAATAGGAAAGTAGCAATCCAAGCACTGAATTATGTCACTGGCTGGTGAAATTATATAACTCAGTGAGAGGCGAATTGCATGATTTTAAAAGAATCCAGTTGTCAGACCTCTGGGAGTGTGCAGAGACACCCCGGCAGTGTCGGCAGAGCTCTTGCACACAGCCCGGAATTCTGAGCTGCTCAAGTTCATTTATCATGTGCTTTTTTATTGAGGGTAACACTGGTTCATGGAGTTCATTGAGTATTTTCACAGTGGAGCTTAGTAAGGTAAATGAATTCCTTTCAGCATCATGTGCGTGGCAGTGAGTGAAGTTAGCTTGTTATGTTGTGTCAGTTCTATCTAAGGATGGTTGTTTTATCTTTGTGGAGGGCTAAGAGTTTGCATGTTTCCTTTTAATCCAACACTACAGCGGGGAGCTCGTGAATAGTAGTGGGTTCGGGTTTATAATTAAATACATTGGTTCCCATGGCATGCTTAGAGTTGACTCTTAAAAATTTATGTTACTAGTTTTCTAGGGGATGCACCTAAGCCCTGCACTGTCTCCATCTCAAATGCGCATGCCATGAAATGAATACTACTCGCTTCCATTGTATGGGAGTGAAAAGAGAAATTTGAGAGACAGATATGTCAAAACCCCCCAAAACTATCTGCATGGCTCGACACCACAAGGAATAGGTGAGAAAACCTGTTTATTTTTTGGTAATCTGGATGAACTGACCCAGTAAGACTACAGTATAAATGAGGCCCCAGGTGATTTGGCTCCCCTTCTGTCTCAAGGGTTCAGCTGCTGCAGTGTGTGAAGTAAAAACATGCAGACTCCTGGAATATGACAGCAGGCTACACCATTTAAAACCACTCTGTTAAGATTTAGTATAGCTTGGTGAGTTAGCGTCATGGCTGGCCCTCAGCAGAGCAGACAGAGTTTTCTATGTGAGGCTGCGGAGCTGCTGCCCTGCCAACAACCCAGCACAGGAATCCCTGAATCAGGGAAAGTCTGAGAACTAAGCAGACCATGCAGCAGGAAATAGCAGCATGCTATACGGTCAACATCTACTGTGACTGTCTCTGCGTCTTGAGATGAAATTTGTCGACAAACAGGGACAAGTAAATAGGGCAAGTCTAAATGTGTACTGGAACTAAGTGGATTAAATGTACTGTACTACGTCTAATGGTCTACATATTTAGTGCACAGTTAAATGTACCGAGCGTGGGCTGAATGACACTTCTGCTCTGCAGTAAAGAAGGGTGGTCTACTGTGTAAGTCTGGGCTATTACAACTAGACTCAGGCTACCATATTAAGTAGCCATACCTCATATTTGTCTGGTCGCGTCCAAGAAGCCTAGAAGGGACAAACACAGAGGGAGCAAAGACAAACAGCGACACAATGGAGCAGTGTAAGCTTTTATAAAGGATCCACACAAAGCAGACTGGATGTACCTGCAGGACATGTGCAATGATTTCATGTTTGAAGGACCATAGCTGTGATTTTGAATGTTTTACCTCATTGCCTACCAACACATTGCTGACAATCCTTTCCCAAGACACACCAGAGTGCGTTTTTTTTACCCTCCAGGTAGTTTTCTGATTTACATCCATTTTCAAATGGTAGGGGTATCAACTCGCAGTGACTCTGAAATTGCTAGCTAAGTTAGGTAATCCATCATGGTGAACTTTGTGTCTGCTCTGGTATCGTATTGTTTATGCTAAAATAAGTCTACCATGCAACAGTAATGTAGCTTTGATCAAAACTAATGCCGACATAATGCTTACTGTGATAGATTACCCAACTCAAGTTTCCAGCATGTGCACTGATTTTCATACTCTAGTGAAACAAATGGAAACCAATGCATGCCTAAAAGGTGGGATAACACGTTTTAACGTCTACAACACAGCAACATGCTTTATAAAGTGATTTATGGCTGAGGGGTTTAAACATATACATAATGGCATTGTTCTCGGAAAAAACAAGAATGTATACACAATTAGCAAGAACATTGATCAGGATTACAGGGAATTACTTTCACACTGGATGCGACTGAATGATTTTTCTACCAAGCTGTATTTATTACAACTATAATTAACTCTGTCATAAACAGATTATACTGCTTTATTAAAATATTCAAAATAAAGCACTCGCAATATTAAAGGTCAAGAATGAGCTGTTTATATCTACATAGGGAGCAGGTTCTTGTCTATGGCCGTGTAAAATGATCAAGAGCGTGTTACACCACCAGAACAGACAAACCAAGTACTGGCTCTAGACAGGTCCATCTGCGTTTTCATCTCGGCTACAGTGGTTGGCAGCCCCTCCGCAACAAAAGCGTCGGAAAAACACTTATATTTTGACGTGACACTGCTTTATTCAGGATTTTTTTTTACTAGTTTTAATCACCTGGGGTCGGATTTCTTAACACCACGTACTAGGGGTGAGTTTGTGTACAAAAATCTCTAAACGTTTAAAGTGGGTCGTTTTTTTTTGTGTAAACATGTACACGGGTTTCACCGCTGGGTGGTGCTATTGCGTTATACCAGTAAAGCCCCAGTTATCCGAATACCAACCGAACGGGCCATTTAACCAATGGTTACAGGCCGCCACACCAAAATATCGCCATTCCGATGGTCCACCATCCCAAATTCTGGTCCCTGATTCCTGACAGTAAGCTATGGCGAGCCTGTAGAAGCCATGTTTCCCATGCATGTCAGCGATTTTGACCAGGGACGCACGCCAGTAATTCAGGCGGACATTACCTGTTTTTCAGCGGGGAACTGCCCATTGGTCCGACAGCCCATTGTTCCGATTCATATCAATGGGCTGTCGGACCAATGACATGGACCCTTTCAGCAAACTCCTCTGGTAATTTTATTACCGTGGCATGGCATATAGGTCCACAGTAACTTATTATTATTATTATTATTATTATTATTATTAGTGGGTCTTATAAGAGTGGGCTACATCGAGTACCGGGCCATCAAATCACAGCATCCATGGTGGGAAAGATGTAGCCAGATGTATTACCTGACCGTCCTGTCCGTAGCACGAGTCATGTGTGCCACTTCACCACGGACCCGTGCGTAAAAGTGCAAACAATTCCGTGTTCTCTCACCGCGGATGCTGTTATTTGATGGCCTGGTACTCATTGTAGCCCACTGGTGAGCAACCCCTTTAACGAATGCGCTGTTTCAATTGAACGGAGCATGTAGGCTACTGACCTATTGCCAGACCCGGCCTCACACCATTCCTTGTCATATTCACAGTCTATCACAGTTAGTCAACAATTAGTATCACCCCCTCCCAAAACAAAAAAAAAAAAAAACGTTTTTCCTGTCCTAATTTTTCATAACCGTTTATGTCACATGTACACAGACTCACCCCTACCACGTAAGCACAAAACGAGGGCTGACAGAGGCGTACGCCTCTTCCCACACAAAATTTGTGATCTATAAAAACAGACTTGATGGGAGAAATTTTGACCCACGCTTACGAACATTTTGTAGACGGGAAATTGGCGATGTAGATGGTGAGGTGGAAGCCTGATTGTAGAAACTGTCACATTTTTTTGGCGCATGCCATCTGTAGTTTTTGTCCATACGTACATTTTTAGCATGGATCCTACACATTGTTAGATAAATGAGAGTCCTGGGGTCTCATTTAAAAAACGTAGCGTAGGATCCATATTAGAAATGCACGTACAGACTAAAGCCAAAAATGGCGTACACCACTTTCAGGCCTTGTTTTGTGCGTACACAATGTTTATAAATGAGACCCCTGGTCCATTTGTTTTGGAGAGGAGGGAACTTCTGCGGATAATTCAGCTCTCGGTAAAAACAAACAAACACTAAAACATCTTGATTTTAGAAAGAGAAAAAAAGTGAGCACATATTAGCAGGTGCTATGCTAGCAACCCGTTTACGAAATGCCAACAGCCTCGGAGAATCACCGATTTATATTGTGAAACTGCTTTATTCAGTGTTTTTACCAGTTTCAATCACCTGGTCCATTTGTTTTGAAGAGGAGAAGACCTTTGTGGATAATTCAGTTCTCGGTAAAAACGTCCTGAACATCTGGATCAGAAATAAGGTGAGCACACGTTAAGTTATTGGAGCAAATAGGTAAGCACACATTTGCAGGTGCTGCACAAGTGGGCTGTCTGCAACTAGCCAAACAGCATTGGAAAAACACAGATTTGTAACTTGAAACTGCTTTATTCAGTGTTTTTACTAATTTCAATCACCGGGTCTGTTTGTTTTGGAGAGGATGAGACCTCTGTGGATAATTCGGCTTGCGGTAAAAACCTCCTGAACAATGAACACTAAGGGAATTCTAACCATGAGAAATTTCAGCTGATTCCACAAACCTCACCACTAGATGCCACTAAATCCCCCTAAATCTTCCACACCTGACCTTTAAAACCAGACATCATTAAGTTCAAGGTTTTCTTACACTGAAAAGGATTGTTATGGTGTGTCAGGATTTCTGCTTGGCAGTCTAATGCAGGCAGGGGATTTACAAAACTGCTCAAAATGCCAAACTGGATTTTCCTAAAGCAGCATGGGGGCTTCTCAGTTGGTTATTAATCAATGTACTGTAATAAGAGTGAGTTTGGAGACACACTAAGGAAAACAGGGCAGTGAAACTAATTATGAGTGAGCCATTACCGGTATCTAGGGACTTTGTTTTTCTAATCAGTGGCTTTCTCATCATGGCATTCTGTGTTTTGATTAACTCGTTCCTTTATGTATAGAACACTGGCATGCACCACTTATCCCCGTTAATAACAAGTACTGATAATTCTTCTCTCATGGTGTAAAAGAAAAACATATGTACCAACATGCAAAGAACCTCAGACGCACAATCGCACTGAAATCCCTTCTTAAGAGATGATACAATGATAAAATCTGGAGAAATTTTACAAAACAGCAAAGTTCAAAAGAGAAAGTAGCAGCCAGTAAAATGACTGTTCTGTCATTTCACATCATTGTGAATAAGTCTGCGCTGTTGCCGTCTCGCTGGTATGATGTAGAACTAGAACGTGGATGGAAGACAGAGCGTGGAAAACCCGAAGATGGACCAATGATGAAAGACGATCCATTGAGAATTAGTGACAGCTATTACCAAATGATCAGCGTGATTTTCTGATTATAGCAGCATTAAATCAAAATTGATCTGACAGTGATAGATAGGAAGGGGAGGGATGATGACAGCCTGTGAATGGAGGAAGATACTCTGTGACAACTGTGAGTGGGAACGGGCAAGTCCTGTCTTGCAGGTGGAAGATAAGATTCAGTAACTCGCAAAACAGCTGTGAATGCACTGTGCTGTGTGAATGCTTCCACTGATTGGCAGTGATAAATGGCACAGTTAATAGGAAAAACTGGGGACACCTTAGCCGAATCAAATTTACAAATTCTCCTCTGATAATCTGATAACACTATTACTCATAGAACCTTTCCAATTGTAAGTCTGATAAAAATGGAAGGAGCTACAGTAGAACAAAAGTCACAAATGATTTAAATCAAAAGCATAAATGTATTCAGAGATTGAATCTAGTGTAGCCAAGATACCTTTGGCACACTTCTGACACTCTGTCATTCTTTGTAATCTGTGAAATGTTTACCGTGGAAATGCTATTATGTTTCCTTTTTTCTGGCATCAACCCGAGGTGGAGACTTGCCACCAGCAGAAACACTTTTTGCAAGCATTTCAACTTTTGGCACAACAACCAGCTCTGAGGCTGGGATACGCTGCACTACACAGTCAGGTGGAAGAAATGCCTCCATATTCTGGAAATCCCTGATTTCATCCATCCTGGTTCACTGCTGTTTTGTGCACTTTTTTGCATTCAATTCATTGGAGTAATTTCACAGTGACTAATGTGCTTCGATGACTAATTCAGCTTGAAGTTGAAATGCTTCTGCTGTTTCAGATGCTTTTATATGTTATTGTTAATTTAAAACAATAAATCCAAGATGTTTTGCAGAGCAAAGTAGTTTTAAGGCCTGTTATGGTGTGAATGTGCCAAATTGAAATCTGTCACTCCCTTGGGCAAGATTTTAAACGTCTTGGCTTGACTGCATCGAAGGCAGAGTCAAAAATAGCAGCCCATTCATGATACTGGGAAGATTCTGGATTGAATTTATAGAGTCTCATCTGAGCCTTTGATGAAGGCTTGTTAAATGAAACATGTCAGCCCAGTAAATAAAATGGTAAACCGAGGCCAGAGTATTAAAATATTTTTGGTGTTTTTGGAATGCGACTGTCCCAGATGATAAATGACTGACAACCACTGCTACTCCTCTCATCCACAGAATCTGGTGGAAATCTGCATAATTAGTTATTGG